TATTATTACTATCAACTCCAACTTGTCAACTTCTATCATTTTTACTGTAAGTCCTCACCAACAATTTCCTGGAACGGAATTTAAAAGAGTAAAAAAAGGAACAAAAAACTGTCTTAGAGAGAAGTATACTACATTTCTTTTGTCTTTAAACATTTAATTAGCTTATTTTTACCTTTACAAACGTTTGAAGCATCAGTTTATACTTCGGAGAATAACTACTTTATGATTTAAAGAGTGAAAACTCTAGCTATTTCCGATATCATTGAGATTGGAATATTTACATTTAAATGCCTAACTGCAGGTAAATATTTGTCCTTTGGGAGAGGCCCTGGTGAAAGGGGCCTGTGGCAAACCGCCAATTACAAAGTTAGGTCCTGGATATCTGACTGTACTGCCAGTGCCACCACATCTTAAAAATACTGCATCATTATCATCATCATGTTCAGTCAATACTCGCTAAGCTCTTTAGGACAGCAGTGGCATTAGGAAGCTTTAAGAGAACATTTACTTGGTAATTACTGAGGTAGAAAAAGTAATTCCTAGATGAAATGGGCTTAGGAAACAAGTTATGGAGGGAAAGGAAGGGCCCTTGAAGTTTGGAGTGAGGAAGCTAATGGTAAAGTGCCTGGGGGGGTGGGGAGAGAGGGGAAAGTGGGGGGGGGGGGGAGGGCACCTGCTCCCAGGAGGGAGAGCGCCCAAAAATTAGTTATGTGTGGCACCAGAGTTTAGTTAGTTTTGGTCAGCCTTACCAAAAACTTAATAGAGGCTATTTCTAAATAATTTTTAAAAACCACTCTAATTGTAGGAAAGTATTGGCATTGAGTAAATTTTGAAAACACAGCAAAATCCTATTTTAATAGAAATGACAGCTTTTGGTCAATGAGGTTACCCATCCAGTAATAAAAATATTTTGAGGTAGCCTGTTGGCTACTAAGATTTGCAGCATGCTGGCCTTTGAGCTTTTGCGCATTTTAATTCATTCATGAAGCAGAAAAAGAAAGACTATGGAATGGACTAATATTTTATTGTCACTTCACCGGTTTTCCAAAATATTATTCTTAGATTGATTTGAGATTTTCACATTTAAAAAAACTGAGATATAATTGACATAACATTATATTAGTTCAGGTGTACAACATAATTCATTGTATATATTGCAAAATGATCACCACAATAAGTTCAGTTTACATTTGTCTCCATGCATAGTTACAATTTTTTTTTTCTTGTGATGAGGACTTTTAAGATCAATTTTCAAATATGCATTACAGTGGTATTGACTATAGTCACCACACTGTACATCACATCCCCCTGACTTATTTTATACCTAGAAATTCATACCTTTTGACCAACAACCCTTCTTATTTTAGAATTGTATATTTTGAATTTCATTAACAAAGCTTTGAACTAGGTTGAAAATTCTGTAACCTTACAGCACTATACTGAAAACAATAAAAAGGTTTATAAAGCCCTAAACACGATATATTTTTTTTATAGAACAACACACAGCATTCTATGAAACAGTTCTTACTTTACTCCTAGGGTGCATTAAAGAAAATGTGCCACTTACTCTGTGTGATGAGGAACCACTTCTTCTTGAAAAAACTTTCTTACACTTTCCCGGAAAATGTCATGATCTGAAGAGAAGATTCTTCTAATTCCTATATCTGTTAATTTTTTAGCAGACGGAGTTTCTAGACGATGCTCCCCTCCGGAATGAGAACATCTTAAAAAAAAAAAATGAATATATGTACATTAAGAAAATTAAGTAAATTGCTACCCTTCATACCCAAATTAATGTCATAAAACAATATGGAAAAATCTTGATCTTTTTTCCTCCAGAGACACTTTAGAGACAGGGAGAGTCTGAAATTTGACAAACCTGCTCAAATTTGAGCATCACCACTTTTGAGAGGATCTACCTTACCTGGATGAGATTAAGAAGTAATTTACCCTTCTTTAATGATCTCTTCACTTCCCAATTCATAAAGAGGAAATCATGTCTACAACTAACTACATGTGAGTTAAGGTAAAATAGTGTTGTCAACGATGTAGATTAAATTACATAAGATTCAAATATTACAATATAATACTGTTAAGTCTGCATGTCATGTACAATGTTTACAATAATGCAACTCTCTCCAAATTAATATTTTATCCAGAATCATATAATTTCAAATGGCAGGTATATAAGATATAAACGATGTTGATGCTACTGCTACATTAGAGAGCCAATTTGGGTGTAAATCTAAGTCAAAATGCCCACCAACCTTTATAAGGATTATTATGGAATTACTCAAGGTCTTCAGAAACTGATCCTTCCCTCCCTCCTCCCCCTGTACTAAGCTTAAAATCAGATGCTATGTAGTTCCTTTAGTTCAATGGTCTTCAGATTCCCTCCTCCCCCGCAAAGTACTCTTAAAAAGATTTTGAAAATAGACGTATCACTTTCTACATTTTCAAGCTCCCATCTAAAAACCATTTGATCATATATTCAAATATTGCCAAAGGACATTTTCCTATTTTGCACAAATTTCTGTTTTGGGTTTCTCTCTTCCTTAGCTGGACGCTGCTTTTTTCAGTCTCTGTCCAGAAAAGACAGTCTTGTTGATTGGCAATGAACTTGTTTGAATCTTTTATTTTCCTCCTTCCCCAAATGGATTATCTTGTTCTACTTTATGCATCTTTGCTTAAAGCTATAGACTGAATTGTGTCCCCACCCAAATTCATATGTTGGAGCTCTGACTCCCAATGTGATTGTATTTGGAGCTAGGCTTTGAGGAGGTAATTTTAGTTCAGAGAGGTCATTAGGGTGGGGTCCTAACCCAAGAGGATTGATGGCCTTGTAAGAGGAGGAGAAAGATCTCTCTCTGTACAAAAGCCCCAAGGGAAGGCCATATGACGACATAGGGAGAAGGCAGCCATCTACAAGCCAGAAAGAAAGTCCTTCCTAATATTTGAATTGGCCAGCATGTTGGTCTTGGACTATTCAGCCTCTAGAATAATTGAGAACTAAATTTCTGTTGTTTAAGCGATCCAGTCTATGGTATTTTGTTATAGCAGCCTGAGCTGACTAACACACTTAACACACATTTTGTGTCATTTTGTTTTAGGTTTGTCTTTCATGTGCTTTAGTTTGTTAATGCAATCTGAGATGACTTTTAAATGGCAACCTTTAGTTGTGAAGATTTACTACTACAATTTCTATACTTGGTCTGCCTTTTGTCTTCATAAAAAATGTTCTGACTGGGGAACTTATATGCATATATGCATAGCCCATGGACATAGACAATAGTGTGGTGAAAGCCTGGTAGGAGCAGGTGTGGGGGGGGGGGGGGTCAATGGGAAAAAGAAAAACAAAAAGGGGGGGGGACATCTGTAATACTTTCAACAATAAAGATAAATTTTAAAAATGTGTGGGATACAACAGTGAGTAAAACAAAGATCCCTGTCTTCAGGCTTACTTTCTAGAAGGGGAGACTGAATAATAGTAAATGATCAATAAATGAGAGAAGCAAATTATATAATACTAGAGGCCCGGTGCATGAAATTCATGCACAGGGTCGGGGTCTCTCAGCCTGTCCTGCACCCTCTCGCAATCCAGGACCCCTCGGGGGATGTCCGACTGCCGGTTTAGGCCCCATCCCTGCAGGAACGGGCCTAAACCGGCAGTCGGACATCCCTCTGGCAATCCAGGACTGCTGGCTCCTAACTGCTTGCCTGCCTGCCTGCCTGATTGCCCTAACCACTCACCTGCCTGCCTGATCGCCCCTAACCACTCTGCATGCCTACCTGATTGCCCCTAACCACTTGCCTGCCTGCCTGACCGTCCCTAACTGCTCACCTGCCTCCCTGATCACTCCTAACCACCTCTGCCTTGGCTCCCGCCGCAGCAGCTTCATCCGGAAGTACGTCTGGAATGACGTCCGGAAGGTCGTTCGGCTGTCCGGTCTAATTAGCATATTATGCTTTTATTATTATAGATATTAGAAGGTAATAAGGGCTATGGAAAAGAAAAGTAGAGCAAGGGTCAGACTGTGTGTGTGTCTGGACAAGGCAAAAACAAAGGTTTCAGTGTGAAAGTGCAGTGAGGGTAAATTAGAAAAATAGATTTGAGTAAATGCTTAAAGATGCTAGATTTAGCCAAGCAGATTGCGGGCATAAAACGATGTTTGACCAAGAATAAAATTAGAGCAAAGGGTGAAGCAAGATGATATTTGATGGGCTCTTGATAGGTCAAGGAGGCTAAGTGTGGATGGAGTGAGCAGAGTGACCAGAGCAATAGATGAAGTCAGAGGTAACGGGGCCAGGATATGCAGGATCCTTGCAGACCATTGTCATATTGCATCAAATAGACTAAAAATACTTGATCCCATAATTAAAAATGACTGCTTCCAATTTCTTGCAAGTAGAAATAAAATTGTAATGAGCCATATAGGTTTTCCTTATTTGGTATTTTTCCTGGGCGGGGCCGGGTGTGTGTGTGGGGGGGGGGTGGGCGGGAAGAGGAATGTGCTGAGATGAAGGAACTGTTGCTTTAGGGCACTGAATCATTTGTTTAAATAATTAGTAAGTAAAAGAGCAGAATTTACATTCAAGTCTGCCTGGATCTTAAAATTTTTATTTCCCATGCTATGCTAAGGAAACTTTTGGAATATATATATATATATTTTTTGAGGGGGGGGCGTTAATTTCTGAGTAAGATACACCAGGGCACAGGAAAGTGAAAGAAGTGCCAGAGAGAATATGCAGAGCAAGTTAGTTGGAACGTCCATTTCTTAAAGACCAAGGAACCTGCACTGAAACCATTGACCCGTGTTTCCCTAATTTATCTGTCCTAATAGCCTCCTTAACAAGGCATCCTCAGGGAATCCAGTTTATCCGATGAATGGGTTCTACGTGTCAGGCAGCATCGGAAGCTTCCGATCTTATAAACACGACCTTAAGAGTCACAAAGCTACTTAGTCTCCACTGATCCTCTGCGTCTCGTGAGTGAATGAAAGCATTTGCTAGTCATCTCAGGCCGATATCCTTGATATCCTTGTCTGTGGGGCCGTGGCCAGGAAGTCTTCCCGGAGAGCCTGGTCCAGACCAGGCCCAGGCCAGCGCCAGCGCTCTCCCCGGCCCTGCGAGTGCGAGTCCCGCCCGGGCTCACCGTGGGCCGCCGCTGCAGCCGCGGTTCTGAAGCCAAAGGTCGCAGCCCAAGTTCAGCGCCAGGGTGTGCGGGGCAAGGGGGCACCCCAGGACCCTGCGTGCGCTGCCCACCGCGGAACCTGAGCCGCCGGGATGGAGCGGGAGAGTGGGGGTGGGCGAACCCCCCTTTCGGCTTTCCCACGCTCAAGTGAGTGCCACCCTCTCCCGTCCCCACGCCCGGCCCGGCCCAGCCCCGCACCGTGGCTGCCACCCTCGCTCGAGCCGCCCGGTTCCTAGTCCCCAGGAAGGTGGGTGTCGCCGCCCAGACCCCGCAGCCTCCCGGCCCAGACGGCGGGCCGGCGGGCACTCACCTCGCGGACCGCGGCGGACACGGAGCGCACCGGCCGCCCCATAAGCGCAGGGACCCACGGAGGAGGCGGGAGGCCATGGCTGGGACAGCGAAGAATGACTGGGGCGAAGGACGCGGCGAGCTGGCGGCCCGGGGTGGGGCTGGGGGTGGGAAGGACTGTCCGCGGCCCGTCCCACTGAGCGCGCCGGGATCAGGGACCTATGCGTCCCCGGCGTCCTTCCTTCCTTCCGCGTCTGGAGGCTGCAGCCGGGATCCCCAGGCCCCGTGGGCGGAGTTTGCGAGGTTGCAACAGGCGTTAAAAGCAAAAAACGGTTTCTTTTTCCCCCCTCAGCGTTCTTACTCCTTCTGAGCAGTTGTTCTTTTTAGAATTCTTGAACCGCTTTGAGACACGCGTGCAGCCAGACCCACACACAAACCCACAAAAGTTGCGTTTTGTTTTTGTCAACATTGAAAATTGCTTTCCTCGCACAGACAACTATGCACAACTAGTTTAAAGGAATTGGGCCTTCATCATTTTTTTTTTTTCTGGCAAAAATTAGTAACCACTTCCGGGGGGGGGGGGATTTAAAATATGCTCAATATGCAAATAAACCTCTTTAGTTCCTTTCTCCAATAGTATTTGATTTGCATTCATGTCTTGCCATTTTCTCCTTCCTCAAGTTATCCAATACTGTTGGGTAATCGACATTTACATTGAATAAAGTTTGAGCAACTGACATTTATGGGGTTGGTTTTTTGATACTAGCACATCTCTGAACTTTAAAAAGTTTGCAGAGTGGATTTAAAGACTGTCAGGCCATTTTAATAATGAAGGACAATTATCAAGGGCCTGAAAGGGTGCCAGCGAAAAACGGAATTTGTGTTAGAAATTAAGAACTAGCCCTGGCCGGCTTGGCTCAGCGGATAGAGCGTCGGCCTGCGGACTGAAGGGTCCCAGGTTCGATTCCCGCCAAGGGCACATGCTGGGGTTGCGGGCTTGGTCCCCAGGCGGGGCGTGCAGGAAGCAGCAGATGGATGATTCTCTCTCATCATTGATGTTTCTATTTCTCTCTCTTCCCTTCCTCTCTGAAACCAATAAAGAAATATATTTAAAAAAAAAGAACTAACAACTAACCAAATGCAGGATATAAACAAGTGAAAAAAAGAGTAAGATTCATTTCAAACAGTAGCATGTGATTATTGGTTGACAGGGGCTGCTCACGGCCCCCCAGGCAGGCTTGCTAGAATTCTGGATCTGCTGGCTGGCGGTCCTAATAGCTCCACCACTAGGAATGTACGCCAGGGTATCTACTGGCTTCTTGGGACCAATGGGGATAATAAAATACTACTTCTTTGTGCCTCTGTGTGATCTGAGAATCCCTACAGCATCTGCTCTTGTTGAATGAGAATAACTGATGATGAGGTCCAGAATTCTGTATAGTAAACATGTCTCACAGGTGATTTTTTTTTTTTTTTTGCAGGCCTAATGCATTCAGTTTATTTTTCTTGTATAAAAACACGTGGTGGCCAACGCTGGAGCCCGGGTCCTCTGCATGGAGACGCTCCCATGGAGCTTAACTAGAAGGTCAGTGAATTCCTGACATGGAAACTTGGTCTCTATAGAGGTGTGTGAGTGACATAGATGCAGATCTTGGAAATGGCATCAAAGGCAGCCTTGGCAAAGTTGCCCAAGGTGGCAGTGCAGCTTCCTTCATACCAGCCATCCTCGCCAGCTTATTGGGCCAAGGGGCCCAGATGATGACCAACGTGCCTGTGGGGGTAGGAATGAGGTGCACCAGCACAGAGATGCAATGGCCTGTCACCTTGCCAGGGATGGCATGGGGTGTGTGAATCTTGATCTCCAGGAGCCTTGCCACCCAGCATCTATGGAGGGGAGGTATCATGGCCCCACAAGGTGGTTACTATCTCTTCGGAGCACTTAACACCTAGACTAATACGGCCCTTATAGTTCCTGAGGGCAACAATTGCCTTGAACTTGTTCCAGTGGCCAGCTCAGGTCTGCTTTTGCATGGGCCTAATCTTTTAAGATTTTGCCCCAATTGCCACATGTATGTATTTTTTTCGGTATCATTTGAGAATAAGTTGGATACATCATACCCCTTCACCCCTAGTGTATGTTCCCAGCAACAAAGGAGTTCTCTTAATAACCATAGCACAGTTATCATGTGTAGGTATTTAACCCTGATACAATATTCTTAAGTAATCTACAGCTCGTATTCCTATTTTGACAAATGTCCCAACGATACCCTTTTGTTATAATGAATTCAGTTAAAATAAAAAACAGAGACCAGCCTTGAAAAGTCCCTAGGAAGACAAAACCAGTTTAGTCATGTGAAGCTTAATTTAATCTAACAAAGCTTAAACTAACTTGAAAATCAGATGCAAAACGTGAACTATTTCCCAAGGTTGATGTGAAGTAACCACCGACCAATTCCCTATCATTTTTGAAAATGCTGATATTATAACTGTGAAGAAGAAACAGTCACCATTTCCTCACCATGTAAGCTGCTTTATAACAGTATTTCCCTGAATCTCGTTCCATGTTATGATGTGAGTGCGTCCAGTTCTGAGAACGGTCATTTTGGTGTGTGTGCAATAAACTTATACTGATTACTACTTGGGTGATTCATTGGTTTTACTCTGGCTATTTCTTTTTTTTTTCCCCAGTGATAACACTTTATTTGAGGCATCAAGCAATATACTGAAAGAGGTGAGTCATGCGCAAGTAATGTCCTTATTTCCATAATTGTACATTTGATACTCTCTGCCCTCATCAAGAGGGTGGGGAGTAAGCAAAGATGAGAAGCACATAGCTTTTATACAAAACCATATCTATGTAAGTACTTGAGAAAGTTCGCTTTTAATTTAGTTTTTCCTTCTTTAAAAGGCATGTCAGTTTTATTTCGGAAAACTAAAATAAGCTAGTTCTGCCACTGAGGATAAAGTTTCTCCCCAGAGTTACTTATGAAATAATGCAGCTGCCTTTTTCTTTAAAGGGATTCTTGTCTTCTGGAATGCCTTTCACCAGAGGGTCCTCTCCAGAACATTCTTCAATGCAGTTTTTATTTCTTCAGAACATTTAGACACCTGTTGTCTCTGAAACTTCACTTGTTTGCAAAGTTGCTCGACTTCCATCTTCAGCTTTTCCTTTTCTGGCAAATCTTCAATGTGCAGGGCCGGCATCTTCAACCCAGAGCTGGGCCCAGAGACAGCTCTCTACTCTGGCTATTTCTGAACTCTTGACAAGTGCAACTCTGGCATGGTTCCTCCGATTTTCTTTTTCATTCATGTCACTGACATTTTTGGAAGAGTAAACGCCAGGTATTTTTTTAAAAAAATATATTTTATTGATTTTACAGAGAGGAAGGGAGAGGGATAGAGAGTTAGAAACACCGATGAGAGAGAAACATCAATCAGCTGCCCCCTGCACACCTCCCACTGGGGATGTGCCCACAACCAAGGTACATGCCCCTGACCGGAATCGAACGTGGGACCTTTCAGTCTGCAGGCCGACACTCTATCCACTGAGCCAAACCGGTTAGGGCAAATGCCAGGTATTTTGAAGAAATGTTTGGTTGTCTTGGGGTTTCCTCATGCAGAATTGGTGCATAAGTAGCATGGCATCCCCCTCAGTACAATGCATTAGAATGTTCCTGAGGTTAGTTTGTCCCGCTCTTGGTGAGGTTCATTTGAACCTCCTTAATTTTAAGCCCTTAATTTGGTTAAAATAGTACCCACCAGGTTGCTTCACTGTAGAGTTACTGTGTGTCAATTTGTGAAATAAGAACAAATATGCTTCTGAATGCAGAGTGAGCTAAAATGAAATGAAAGGTGTAGCAAACTACGCAGATAATTTAGGCAACTCACCCAGTGTTTCATGAACGCTTTGAGCCATTTATATCTTTCTGGCAGCTTTTACCTGGGAGTTCTACAGGGCGTGCTTTTATTAACTGAAGTGTCAGTTAGGGACCAGAGTAATTGGGAATGTTCCAGTTAGTACATGCTAACTTTAGGTGTTGACAGAAGGGAAAGAAAGATAAGGACACTAGAGGAGGGTGGAACAAAATTATGAAAGGGTTATAGAGAGGAAGGAGGGAAGGAAGGAAGGGAGGAAGGAAGGAAGGAAGGAAGGAAGGAAGGAAGGAAGGAAGGAAGGAAGGAAGGAAGGGAGGGAGGAAGGAAGGTAAAGAAACCAGTCTAACTGAAGGATATGTGCTGGGAAGAAGTAGGAACTCAGGTTCACCATCAGGAATTCAGATTTATACATGAAATTACCTGGGTTTGACTCCTGTCTGCTCCCTACTATCTATCAGTTGCCATTGTTGGGATTAAGTGGGCTGGTGCTTATAAAGGGCATGGCACAGAGGTTTGCTGCACTGTCATTATTCAGTTACTAGAGGCCCAGTGCATGAGATTTGTGCACTGTAGGGGTGTGTGTGTGTGTGTGTGGGGGGGGGGGGGACGGAGTCCCTCAGCCCGGCCTGCACCCTCTCATAGTTTGGGACCCCCGAGGCTTAAGTCGGCAGTCAAACATCCCTCTCACAGTCTGGGAGCCCTAACTCCTTACCACCTGCCTGTCTCAGAGGCGGGAGGGGCTCCCACCACCACCGCTGCACTCGCCAGCCGTGAGCCTGGCTTCTGGCTGAGCGGTGCTCCCTCTGTGGGAGTGCACTGACCACCAGGGGGCAGCTCCTGCGTTGAGCGTCTGCCCCCTGGTGGTTAGTGCGCGTCATAGCTACCGGTTGTTCTGCCGTTCAATTTGCATATTAGGGTTTTATTATATAGGATTGTTGGCCAGTATGTTTATTATTATTGAATATCACACCAGGGAATTTAGGTTTGATGTGTAAGGAGCTAAAAGTCCCCATTTATTCTCTTACTAGAGGCCCGATGCACAAAATTTGTGTAAGGGGCTCGGCCCTCGCAGCCACTGCGGCTTGCCTTGGCCCGAGTAAATTGCAGCGGCTGCCTCGGCCCTCGCAGCCCCAGCTTTGTCCGGAAGGACATCTGGTCTCATTAGCATACTATGCTTTTATTATTATAGACTCAGTAAATACTTGTTGAGTTCCTCCTGATATTAAGGACAGATGCTGTACAAGATAAAAGCCCTGCTTTCAAAGACTTTGAAATACAGTTGTGAAAATAAGACTATGAGATGATTTAAAATATAAAACTCCACGATAAATGTAGGAGTAAGCCAACAGTCCAGAGTAGGGAGCTGACACTGTGAGTGGCTTACTTGATTTGCTTCTTTTCTCACTTTATTTTCATGGAATAGCAGAAAGCACATGGGCTATAGCCTTCCACTGACCAAGATGAAGGTTGGAAACCTCTGCTTGAGGTAATGAATGTCTCTAAGTCTCTGTTTTCTTATCTGTAAAATAGAGATATTAATAGTATCAACCTCCCAGGGTTGTGAGACTAAAGGAAGGCAAAATATGCAAAGCATTCAGTCTGCAGCCATAGGAACGAAGCACATAGTAACATCGTTACTGTTTTACCTGGCTTACTTCTTAGGAGCGGCCATACTCTTCCCAAGTTGCCAGGGAAACCCACAGACCCTGAGCCTTCCTTCTGGATCAGTTACATTTTGGGTAGCCAAATCCTCCTACCATTCAACTGCCTCTCTTTCAAAAGGGAATTTTCAGAACATAGGGCCTGGGTTGGGGCTGGGGTTTGGGCATGTTGAGTGGGTGAGGAAGACTTCCTATCTCAGGGGGAACACTCGTGAGCAAACAGCTCACCCCTGTGAAAATCAAAGCCCAGGCCTTCCTGGCTGCAGGGGCTTTAGGGTTGTGAAGTTGAGGAGGAAGGGAAGAAAATGCAAAGGGCTTTGGTGCCCATCACTGGCACAGAACGAGAAGGGTAGATAAAGAACAAGTGCTGAGAGCTTGCTGCTGTGATGCAAGTGGCATCCCAGGGCAGATTACATTACCAGGGCTCATGGGGGAGCAACAGGAACAAAGTGTGCAGAATCTAGCAGAGGCAACCTGTCTGCCAGCCATGCAATGCTGTGCCAGCCCTCGGGGCCTGGCTGGTTGCCTGAGGTCTATAGGCTGGCTTGTCCCAGCTACAGGCTACGTGGCATCTACAGACTAAGGATGAATGTTGCTCCAGCTACTAGGCCTAGTTGAAAGAATCCAAGGGATTTACTTTGATTACCCAGAAGGTGATAGTGGCTTTTTCTTTCTTTTTTTTTAATTACCCAGAGGGAGATAGACACTAAAACATGTTTGCATTATGAATTTTCACCCAGCTCTTCTTGTTGAAATACAGGTTATCTATGCTATAGTATGTCTCCTTTGCTGCCAATGGAAATTCTAGCACAAGGTTACCTTCCTAGGAGGCAAAGCGTTGAGCAATAATGTCTTGCTTTCTCAATTTAAAGGTATTTGCCTTCTGGGATATTTACCAAAGTAACTTCATGATCTATAAATTAAGCCGTAAGTTTGAAGGTAATTTCATTTAAAGGTTCACTCAAATAAGATATCTGGATTCCTTGATCTGCTCTGAAGATGTATAACCTTGCTTTAGAGATTACCTTTGTCCTGGTGCACTATTGCAAAATTAGAGCTGTACTAAAAATATCCCCAGAGGTGAATAGTTGAATTCCAGTGGGGGGAAAAAAATAAAAGTTTTTTTCTCCTCTTCTAGTATTTTTGAACTCTCTTCCTACTACAGAGGACAATTTGATCACAGTTTGATCACAGAAGAACTTTGTTTATAAATAATATACTTAAGTTGCTGACAATTAAAGTCCCTTAAAAATACAATAGCAGCAAAGATTGGCTCTCCCTCTAAAATTAGCATTGTTTGGAGATTCAAACATGGTCTCTTATATTAGGATTTATGAAACTTGGAATAATTGCTTGTGCTTTATTTTGAATAGGCACTCTATTCAAAGGAAACGTAGTGAATGAATTTTAACCTATTTGGCCATGTACAACCCTTAAGGTTCTTTTTCTCATATAGCAAGTAACTGTGGAAAAGTTCAGGAGGGGCGAAGGTTCTCCATTTCCACACACTTTGATGGCAGGTTATAATACAAGCAAGTCTCTGGCCAAATTCTACCACTTAGACATACATTTGTTAAACACGTATTTGCAAGCAAGCACGAAACAACTCATACCACAAGACAAAAACCCCAGCTCTTTGTCCTCTTGAGTGCTTTCGTGACCTTTACATAAAAGTCTACTTGGAGCTGACTCAAAACTATTCCAGAGGCATAGCTGACATCACAAATCCGATGATGGGCGCAGGACCATTTGAGGGCCGAGCCCACGTGGGATGTGAATTATTCCTTTGTCTAGCGTATCCATGCCGAATATGCCATCTTCCTGTTAGTCACTTCGTAGTGATTTCGCATTAGCTTGACTGTCACATGATCTCAGTGCTTGTGTTCAAGTAACCCTTATTTTACTTCATAGTGGCCCAGAGCACAAGAGTAGTGATGCTAGCAATTCAGATATGCCAAAGAGAAATTGTAAAGTGCTTCCTTTAAGTTCAGGGTTTGGTATTGTCTGTGTTTTCAGGCATTCACTAGGGATCTTGGGTTGTATTCCCCATAGGTAAAGGGGTACAACTCTATCTTTGACTTGTGGCCTCCAGGGTTGTCAAGAAAATGGAAGAGAGAGTGAGCAGAAAATCTAAAGGGAGACTTGACTTTAGGGCCAGGCCTGGAAGTAACCTATATTCTTTTGACTAATGTTCCATGGGTTATGACTAGTCACATGACCCCATGTGGCCTCACTGAGCTCCG